TGGCCTGCAGCATGCAGGGGGCCAGACCAGATGATCATAATGGTCCCTTCTGACCTTAAAGTCTATGAGTCTATGCCTCTAGAAGGGGAGACAAATATTATATTCTTTGTTTCATAGTCCCATACACTTACCACTAAAAAGGACTTCCTTGCTAGCACTGATTCTTAGGGAAATGGCAGAATGTAATCATATTTGCTTTTATCTAGTCCAACTACCAACCTGCAGTGAAGGCACATGTATTCTTTTTAAGCACTTATTTGGCTTAAAATGATTAATTGCTATAATTGCTGAGAAATTTCTCCCCCTCTTTTAATTGCCTGGAAAATTAAAAAAAAAATTCAAACTACTGTAATAACAACCTCTTCAAAAGGCAAGAGGAGATAAAAGAAACTCCTATTGCCTCAGAAACAGCTGCACATTCGTTCCTTGCCCAGAGCTACACGTAGGCTTTCCATAGGCTTTGGCACTAGCATCAGAATACTGTGAATGCCCATCATGTCCTTCAGCCCAGGATCTCAAATCACATTACAAAGAACGATTAGTTAATGAAGCCTCACAATGCCCTGCTAAGGTAGGTGAGGAATACATGGAAATTGCTTCATCCACCTATGGAGTGAAACTGGCAGCTTCGTAGCATAGGAAATAAAGAACGGCATACTGGAGCCGTACACTTCAGTATCCAATTGAAACGGCTGGAGGAATTTTGGGAGGCAGAATGAGTTGAAAGGCGACAGGAGCACTGGTGTCAAAATGTCTGTTCTTGTGAAAAGTGTCTTAGAATCTCTCAGGACCACAAAATGGATGCGAGTGCCTTCGTTTTACCACCCAGTCAAAAGCCGGCCCCTCTGGCATTAACTTTGTGCTGAGTCAGGCGTTTTGTCAGCCATGACTCGGATGGAAGAGCGCCCCCTACTGAATCCCCACACCACCTCAATGCTCTTTGGAGGTCTTCTACCCAAACACTGATCCAGTAACGTATCAAACGTCCCTCTGGCATGGTGCATATTGAACAAGAGAAGGAGGGGTGAACATTGCTATTAAAGGAGGAGTGCTGGCTAAAACCTAGCACAAATATGACAAACCGAGTCCTTGGAATAGCTGAATACGTGTCCTCGGGGCTCATGGATGGCAACTGCCAGAATGGTAGTACAATGTCCCTGAAAGGTAGCAACTGGCCAGCTCGGGACATATTGGTTCCAGAGTTGCACAGCGTGATCCACTCCTCCGGTAACCAGCAGACTCAGGGATTTGCAGTAGTCGAAGCATTTTACGCCCTTGAAAAAATAGGAAAAAAACAATTAAGTGTTTTGGAAACGTTTGTACAGTCTATGGAGAGTGTCTGTGGAATGAGGCTGTGCGGGACATAGAGGCCCAACTAGGAAAAGTCTCAGAGCGCATCTACACGTAAAACACTCCATCAGCGCAGCTGTAGTGCTTAAGTGAGGATGCTCTATGCTAATGGGAGAGAGCTCTCCCATTGGTGTGGTTAATCCACCTCCCTGAGAGGCGATAGCTATGTCAGCGGGAGAAGTCCTCTCGCGGACATAGAGCTGTCTACATGGGGGCAGGATGGTGCTGGGTGGTGGTTAGGTCAGTGGTGTGGATTTTTCCATAGTTATAGCAAAGTAATTCTGTAGATCTGGCCTCAGTACAATGTTAAAACACACTAGGGAACCTTTAGCGCACGCCAGCAGGGTCTACCAGGACCAAGGAACATGCAGCCTGTGAGTGTACTTTAGAAATCACGCCCCTGTAGAGCACATCACTGCACCTTGTGGACAAGCCCTCAGGAATAGTGGTTTTTTTCCTTTTTCATATTTCAGCTTTGTGAGTCAGATATCAGACGTTACTTTTGTATCCCGGATTGATAAAGAAAAGGTTCTGAGAATAATTTAGGGTCACAAAGACGCTCTTAAATATTATGATTAAAAAAATGCACTTTCCCCCCCATCTCGCCTAATCTACTCAGACACACAGAGGAAACCTTTGCACTTTGCAATTAGAATTTCTGTCCGGATGGGAGGGCTCCAATTCTTTCTTTCCATGACTACATTTTTCTGTGATTGGAGACCAGAGAGGGGAAAAGGCCTGTTTTGATTTCAGCACTGCTAAGTTTTGTTTAACTATCCAATTGCAAAACCACAATGAACCGAAGGGAGCTAATTTAGATGCTTCCCAAGATTTGGTTTCAAATTCTATTTTTCCTGAATTTCATTAAGCTTTGTGGAGTCTATCTATGCTGTTGCTTTTATTGTAAAAATAGAATGGTTAGCTAGTAAAATAGAATTGCTATATTTTTTTCATATTGAATTAAAAGAGCATAACTCCCATTGACATCAATGGGAGCAGGTTAGGCACCTAAACTGGCTTAGGTGCTTTTGAAAATCCAACTAGATGCCTATCTGCATCTTTAAGCAATATCCCACAAAGACTTAGGGAATGGCTACACTAGAAACTTAAGTTGACCTACATTAGGTCGACTTATGTCCACCGCAGTAATTATTGTGGTGATGCATGTCCACACTGCCCTCCTTGCACGTGCTCACCAGCAGCGCTTCCACCGACCTAAATGGGAGTGTGTGCTGAGAGCCCGGTCAGGCTTCTGGGCTCTTGGCAGGCTGCCCCTCCTATCCCCCTGCTCCCCATTCCCTGCTGGGAGCAGGAGACGCCGCCTGGGACTTCTCGCCTCCTCGTTCCCCTCTGGGAGTAAACGCAGAGAGAATACATGTCTCCTGCCTAGTGAAAAAGGACAGGAAAAGACTGACAGATCTGCAGCCCTGTAGACAGGAAGGAGGACCCTGTAGTGAGGATACTAGCCAGGGGCTGGAGAGACCCAGATTCAATCCCCTGTTTTGTCATAGACTTCCTGTGTGGCCTCGGGTGGGATCCACAAAGGTGCCTGGCTCCAGTGTGACCCACACAACTCCTGCTGACCGCTGCAGGTGTCTAAAGTCACTTGGCACCTACGGTTTTTGGGTAAAGCTTCCCTTGGCTTCTGTGTTTCTGCCTCGGAGCATGCACACTGCTGCCCCACTCTAGGCATATAAACGCCGATCTCCTGCCTACATCCCTGAGTGAGCCACGAACCGGGGGAAGACAGGCATTTGCTCGCCTATTTCATGGGGCCCAATCCGGTAGGTCACCTCTGAGCATGCTACTGGATCGGGTCCCATTCAAACACTGGTGGTGGCGTTGGTGTCCCTCTTCTAACTACTGGATCGGGTCCCATTCAAACGCTGGTGGTGGCGTTGGTGTCCCTCTTCTAACTACTGGATCGGGTCCCATTCAAATGCTGGCGGTGGTGTGGGTGTCCCTCTTCTAACTTTTAGCCCAGTGGTTAAAGCACTCACCTAGGATGCGGGAGACCCAGGTTCAATCACCCCTCTGCTTGAGGGGGAGAAAGGAATTGAACCGGGATTTCCCACCTTTCAGAAACATGCTCCAGCCACTGAGCTACGGGCTATTTTGACATGTGTCTCCTTCAGACTCTCCTGTTGAAGCTGTTCCACTGCGGACAAATAATTGAAGTGAGTGGGTCAGAAAGAAAGAAATAGTGGCAATGACTCTGTAGCCTGGTGGTCCAGGCACCAACATGGGCAGCGGGAGACATAGGGTCCAGCCCCTTGGCTCCAATCCCGCTTTCCTTGCAACTCCATGTCCCTTTGTGGATCGAGGCCTTAGTCTCTCTGTACCTCAGTTCCCGAGCTGTACATTGGAGTTAATAGCCCTGACCTACCTCACAGGGGTGTTGTGAGGATAAATACATTAAAGATTGGGAGGTGCTCAGATACTAGGATAAAGGGGGGCCAGATAAGTACCTGAAAGAGATAAGAAGAGTGATAAACTCTGTTGAGTGTAAAAACAGGAATATAATATTATGAAGTATACACGACTGCGTTCCTTTTGCCTGAGGCTGGAGTAAAAACATTGGCCAGAGGGCGGGGAGTGGAACTACCTTCTTGATTTTCCAGGTGTAAACTTTTCTCTTTCTGAGAATATCCATGATCACCACAGAGGTCTTGGGACTGCCTGAGGATGTGATGATGAGTTCTCCCTCTGCTACGTACTGGATTTGGGAAACAGCTTCCTCATGCACCTCTGGGATGGTTTGATATTGCAGGAGCTTACCGTGCTCTTTAATTTCCTGGGGGACAACAAGGGACAGAAATGTCACAAGGCTAGTTCACCTGCTAATCACCCGTCCTAATACGACCGGAGGCAGCATGCCCACAGAGAGGGAGAAGTATAGAGGGGCTGGAATATCAAGAGATGTGGGTTTTAGCAGTGAAGTTTGGGGAACCCTGGGCCTAATGCGATGATGTTTATGATGCCATGGCAACCCAGCAGACTATTTTGTCCCCTGGCAACGTGACTAATGATTTGATGATGGGATTAAAATTGAGCCTGAGATGCACAGTTCAGATCCAGAACCAAATATCCCCAGGCTTAGGGCGTTAAGGGGTTGGTTTGGGACAATTCTGAACGGCAACGCACAGCTGTTACATTCTTGTCCCCCAGAGACAAACCCGTGATGTTTGCCTCAACTTGAAAACAGTTTCTTTGGAAGGATTTCTCTAGTTTCCTCCATCCCCACTCACCAAGCACTAAAAATAACCCACTATGTTTCTATTTATAACCGAGAACAGCAGCAAGAAACTCTGCGCACATGCTTCGGAGCTACTGCAGCCTCAAATTCTTTGAGATGAACCTAGGGCGGTGAAGGCGTTTCACAGTCTAAATGCTAGAGATGCTCCTCTAATTTGTGCTGCCCAGTGGACTCTCGCAGCCTTGACCTTTTATCTCAGCCCACAGCAGCATCCAAGGCTATTTCCTTTGAATATATGTGAATTTACTTTGGGCAGCTCTCTCATTTCGGAGGGTAAACTTTTTTTTTTTTAAAAAAGAACTTTTTTATAGCAACTCCTGCCCACCTCTGTAGAAATGAATATTTCACAAGCACTGAATTCCCCCACCTGTCCATTATTTGTAGAAGTTGATATCTGAGATTAATGTTCAGTGGGGCCTGGGGATTTAGAGGGCCCTTGGGAACACCTGCTTAGCTGAGAAGATTCCTTGTTTATCCTCCTCATCCTACCCACAAACATCCTGCTACAGGATGACTTCTCTGTCTGGCTGAGGACAGCTGGACTTGGCTTCTGGCTCAGTTGGGACTTAAGGTTTGTCTTGACCTTCACTGGTGAAGTTTCGATATGGTTTCGCTAACACACGGGCTGGTAGGTCACGCCTTAGTCACCATTGGAGAGCTGAGCCAATCTGAGAACAATGGTGTGTGTTTGGGGGAGACGGGAAGGTCATTAGTAGAGGAGTTAAAAACAACCTGGTAGACTTGAGGGCTGATCGAGGCAGTACCCAGAATTGTGTCGGCTGTGTGGGTTGAGTCCCAATCCCTGTATCACCTTGGATACAGGTCAGTGCTATTCCAGCGTTATCAACTAGGGAAGCCCTGCATTAGAATAATGCTTGGTCCACTACTTTATGGACCTACAGGGAGAGCCTGGGGAGGAGGGGAAGCATTTGGTACCTCATAGCGCTATAAAGCCTGTGCTCCTTACATGTCTCTATCAGCTAACTGCTCTAAACTGGGATTCTCTCAGATAAAGAGAGCGGGGCAGCACTTGGTGAAGTGAAAGTTTGTGACTTCTTGCCTGACGTAGCTGGGCTGATGGGGAGAAGATAGTGGCATCTACTGGGCCGTGGTAGCTAAACCTGTCCTAAACGGGACCATCTTTCCTAGCCTAGGTTCTGTTTTCTAGGGCCTCCAAAAGGAGGCCAGGAAGGGCAGTGACAAAGGAGGGATGCTTAGCACCATTCGAAGGTTAGCACCATTCTGGAAGACGCCTTTCTGCCCCCACCTGCAGGAAGACTCTTTGCGGCCCCGACTGATCCGTGAAGGGCTTTTCAAAGACGCCCAAATGAGGGTGTAGCAGCCAGAGCAGGTGAACCCCACCGTGGTCATCTCCCCAGAGCAGCAAGGAGCGACTCCCTAAGGACTGGATGGGAAACAAAAACACAGAGGAGGAGGGAGGAGCTGGGATGTGCCGGGGTGTGTGTGTGGAAGCGGATGATGTTCCCGTTATGCTCTGTCTTCGCATGGTTAACAGCTGATTAAACATATAATGAACGTAATTGTGCTTGAGTCACTGCTGAAAACCCCGCTACAGTCCGTTGGCCCAAAGCCAGGGAATCGGCCCATGGCTCGAGTAGGGTGCGGTGCGTGCCTTGGGGATCTCCGCAGGGAGCTCTGATACAGCACCCCTCATGCTGCCTGTGCATCCACCCCCTGGATCCATCCCAAACACACCCGTGCCATGCCCCAAGCTCACCACATGTGGCCACAGTGTGCCCTTTCCCCCACAAGAGCTGGGCTCTGTGCAGTATAGCAGGTTCATACCTGTGCCCTCTCCCCAAATCCTGACCCTGGACTAGGGTAGCGGCACAGCTTTGGGTCACTGTGTCAAGGACCTCACACGCGGCAGAGAAGCAAGATTTGCCCCATCCAGCACAGACAGCTGATAACAATCAAACCTCCTGACACAGGGTGTGAATTGGAACCATCTCTATCTCCTGTACAGACAGTATTGATTCTGCTCCCTTTATAGACACATTGATTCTGTTACCCTTGTATACAACATTGTATGTCTCCCTACAGACCCCATTGCACAACTGGCTAAGTACATAATTGGTGGAGTGGGGCAGGTTTGTGTTTCCCTGAAACATCAGGTGCCCACCTCTGCTACAAGCAGGATATTGAATTTGGGGGAGAAGGCTCTGATCTGCTCTGCAAATCCTCTGTTCCCAAGTAGATTAGAACTAGAAAAACTTCCTAAATAAATCCCAGTTTCCAATCTGAGAGCACCCTTGTTATTCCTTTAAGTAATAATTAACTTTTCCTTCTCAGCCCTGAATCTTGACTGGCTTCTTAGTCACTCACAAGAGAATGGTAGCAAACAATCTTTGTGACCTAAGTCGGGAGGGGTTCTTGCATCTGAAATATAAGACAATCCTAAATTGTGACCTTACCTCAAAGAGTTATAGCTTGGCACAAATAGGCATAAACACTTTTACTTGTTGGGGATAAACAATAAAGGTCACAGGTAACTTTATGAGCACATATTGGGAACACAAAGTGCTGTGCCACTGTACCTTTGCATTATACCAGTAGTACAATGAAGTTGGAACATTTTTCAGAGCTGGAGGGATAGAAAGAGAAATGGAATATTAGAATTATTCATCATTTTTTTCTATTCCACTTTCTCAATATCCATTTTCCATGTGATTCATAGAAAGGGATCATATTCATAGAAAGGGGGGGACGGATAGCTCAGTGGTTTGAGCATTGGCCTGCTAAACCAAGGGTTGTAAGTTCAATCCTTGAGGGGGCCATTTAAGGATCTGGGGCAAAAATCTGTCTGGGGATTGGTCCTGCTTTGAGCAGGAGGTTGGACTAGATGATCTCCTGAGGTCCCTTCCAATCCTGACATTCTATGATTCTATTCTCTCAAAGCAGTGGGAGGGGACAGAGATGCATAGAACTCATTACAGTTAATGGCAGGGAACAGTGTAAATTCCTTGGGTATGCATGAAACTATTGAGGCCAGAATGATGTCTAGTTTCCACTACCTATATCTATTTTCATGATCACCTACACACTCTTATAACCATCAACATAATCATCATTAGAGACAGACATGACCCAAAACTCTGGGCCCAAATACTCCTTAAAGTGCTGTGAAATTCAGAAATGGATCTGAATTTAGCAGCTCGGCCTGTCTCTAATCACTTCTTGCATTCACCCACCTCCAGCAGTTGCTGTACTGTCATTTATTTAAATAAGGTTCATTGGGCCTGTTTCTCCATTGCAGGAGGTAAATGCTACCACATGAGAATGGGAGCACATCACTTCCACTAGCCGCACAAGCTGCAAGACAACGTAGAATCAGATCCACTATACATAAAGGGCCACAAGCTGCTTTCACCAGTGTAAATTCAGCTTGACCTCACTGCACCCAATGGAGCCAATCTGGATTTATGCCAGTACCAGTGTGAACAGAATTTGGTCCACTGACTTCAGTAAGGCGGATACTTCCAGCCTTTAATTTAAACCTTGATACCCATACATCTATAGGAATCCATCCCCATCACAGCTGACCTACTAGTGAGTGTTGGGGTCTGGTTCTGAAGCTCCAAATTCCCATCTGCTGCACCATTCCCAAACCGCATGGCGTTAGCTACCTGCCTTTGGCCAATTTTAGCTAACTCCATTAAGCAGTAGGAGAGAACAACAACAGCGACTCCAGAGACTGCAGTGAGCAGCAACTGAGTACGTTTATTGCTCTCCAAAATACCCAGGTTTCTGTGTGAATAGCCTGGTGTTTTCTCCCCAGAAAGCAAGGCTGGAAATCAGACGCCTGATTTAGACTATACCCAAACCTCAGAATAGAATCTGGGAACATGAACAGAGGCCCCCTCCTATTAGTAAAACTCTAACTTGTACCAAATAAATGAAACTCTTCAACAAGGTTTGCCGTGGACACGTCAAAAAAGTGAATATCCCTGCAGGTGGTGGCTACTGCGATTTTGTGGACATTGGCCATGTACGTAGCATCTGTGGTCCAGGATTTCAATCTTCTTTTTTCTGCTTGAGAGCCTTTGGAATCTGGTGCAATCTGTTAGAAAACAAGCAGCAAAGGAGAACTCAAAGGACTGGAAGCTCTCTCAGAAGAAATGCACTGGTGCCACCTTCAGCATGAAACAGCCATTCCCAGATGAAGTTAATATGCCCGGATTCTGCAAGGAGCTGCGTATTTTTCATCTCCCACCGAAGGCACTCAGCACTTGGCAGGAATTTCTCCACAGCACCTGGCAGTGCCAGGGCCACACTGATTGGAAAATGAAGGAACCCTGCTAATCCTAGCTTCCCAAACATCCGCATTATTATTGATCTGTACTGCAGTAGCATTAGGAGTCATGGACCCGGGCTCCATGGTGCTAGGTGCTGTATACACTCCCAAAGAGTTTACAATCTAAGTAGTCGCCAACAGACAGGAAGAGATAAACAGACAGGCACTCTGACCCCATATAATGCTAGTTGATGCGATGCATTTAACCATACACAACAACGCAAACCCCTTATTTTCCCCAGGGCAGATGGAAGGAGTACTAGGAGCCGCAAGAAGTGGTTTATGAAGGTAGGTACTGGATTCTCATTAGGGAGGGTTTAAACTCAGAATTTCCCACAAAAGGGAATTTCTGACACTTTAGAAAATACTTGCTTCAGATTCAGAATGAAATACAGGAATTTCGGAATTTCCCATTATGGGGAAAAACAAAGTGTTTCATTTCAAAAAGGCTCCCAGGGTCTCTGGCTCCTCAGCAGTCCACCTGAGGAGTTGGGGGCCCACGGACTTCCAAGACCCCGAGATCCCAGGGCAGCTGGCTGGGCTGCCTGACTCTCCAGTTGGATATCTCAGGGAGTCAGGGAGCGGCTGCCCAGGGAGTCATGCAGCTAGGTAGCTACCATGGAACCTAGAAGCCCCAGATCTGCAGCATCCCTCCAGGTGGGCAGCCAAGGAGCTAAACCTTTTATTTCCATTTTCCCTATAGAAAGTCAAAAGTTGTGGGCAAAACTGAAATTTTCTTGCAGAAAATTTGAATCGTGCAGAAACGGCATTTTCCATTGGAAAACATTCCTCTGTAAAATTCCAACCAGCGCTAATCCTCATTGCAAAGAAGCTAAACTCTCCTAGAGATACAACAAGGAGTCTGGTGGCACCTTAAAGACTAACAGATTTATTTGGGCATAAGCTTTCGTGAGTTAAAACCTCACTTCTTCGGATGCAACTGAAGAAGTGAGGTTTTAACT